ATGGTTTCAATATGTACAGTTGCAAGCTAGATGGAGAGAAGATCAGAAAATAGGTATTTTTCAGAATGAGGAGAATTTGGTAAAACAGATTAGAGATCAAAGTCAAATGCATATAAAAAGATTGTATAATGCATTGGTAGAAATAGATTCAGAAACTGAGTTAGTTAAGGACTGTATGATAAAGTGGGCACAAAATATTGAAGAACCAATAATGATGGAAAAGTGGGGAAAAATATGGGTTAGAAATGTAAAGTTTATGCAAGCCCAAAACCGAAGAGAAAATTTTTATAAAATGTTTTATAGATGGCATCTAGATCCCAAAAAACTAACCTGTATGTATCCAAGTTTGCAACCTAAGTGTTGGAGATGCAAATGTGATGATGCCACGTATTATCATATATGGTGGACATGTAAAAAAGGCATTTTGGATAAAAATATGGTGGATTATCCAAAATATTCTCAAAAAGATGATAAAATTTACTCCACAGTTCTTTTTGTTAGGTATAATTACAGATTGTACTGTTATAGAGACTAAGTTGATTTTAAATTTAATAACAGCAGCCAGACTCTTGGTGGCGCAGTATTGGAAGAAGGAAGACTTGCCTACTATTGAAGAATGGACACTAAAAGTAGTGAATTTAGCAGAGATGACTAAAATCTCAGCGTATTTGAAGGACCATTCAAACGAAAGATATATATCAGAATGGAGAAGATGGATTGACTATATTCAAAACAAATATCGGACTAAAAAGTTTCAAATAGCTTATGAATGAAGCCAATATTTTCTTTTTGAATTATATTTTGTTAGTTGAAAGGGGAGTTAAAGAGCAAGAGGGAGTTTGGGGACTACAGAAAGTTAGCTTATTGTAGCTTATGTTTGTTATGCTATACCCTGTTTTTGCTCTGGGAAGTCCAGGGTGGGTGGGGGTGGGGGGGTTGGAGGGAAGGAGGGGGAGGAGGGATGGGAAAAATTGCTGTAATACTTGTTAAAACTTTTTAATTAAAAAAAAAATTCTCTGTAGAGCTTTTATGTCCGCTACAGAGCTGCTTCCATACCATGGAAGAATGCTGTATGTCAGGACACTCTCAATGGTGCTGCGATAGTAGGACAGAAGTAGATGCTGAGATAGTTTTATCTTCCTGAGCATTCTCAGGAAGTACAGACTCTTCTGTGCCTTCTTCAGAAGCATGTTAGCATATCACTGTAAATGTGAGCGTTTGTCAAGAGTTTGAATCATATAATGCAGACTGGCCTCATGTAATCCTTGTTCAGCACCTTTAAACTTTGTATGCTGAATGAAGATTGGTAAGTAAGTACTACCTATAGTAGTGTTACAGAGGTGAATCCCCAGGTGTCCATAACTACCCAGGTTGTGCTTGTTGCATCTGTTAAAGCTTTTGGATGGTCTTCAAGGGCAGCCCCCTGCAAAATGCATTGCAATAATCCAGCATGTGGTGGCAAGTGCTTCCTGATCCAGGAAACACTAAAACTGGCAGATAATATGTAACTGTGCAAGACCCAACTTGGCTGTAGCTTCCATTTTTTCTTTGAAGCAACCAGCTTCATGCAAAGACCTCCAACTTGCAGGCAGGCCAGCTTTCTTTGGGAAAATGCAAACCTATTTATAGTTGATCTGTTGACTGAATTTACTTCAAAGTCTGTTGCCATGTGTTTTAGTAGAATTCAGTCTAAGCTTTTTTCTTCTCATCCACATATAACAGTCTCTAGGCATTTGATCACCATCTGGCCCAGACTGAAGATAAGCTTCATTTATTTCATTTTCATTTATTAGACTTCTTTTATCCCACCTTTATTACTTTATAAATAACTCAAGGCAGCAAACATAATACTCCTTCCTCCTCATTTTCACAACCCTATGAAATGGGTTGGGATGAGAGATAGAAACTGGCCCAAAATCATCCCGCTGGCTTTCATGTCTAAACTGGGACTAGAACTCATTTCCTGGTTTGTAGGCAAACATCTTAATCACTACACCAAATTGGCTCTCTATATAATGAAGGATCATCAGCATACCTAAGATAGCTCACCTTATTCGAGCATATGACCTTTCCTAGTTGCTTCATGTAAATGTTAAACAGACACAACAGAGTCTTTCAGGGTCTCAATGAAGCTACAAGGGGCTTAGTTTCTCCCCACTCATCATCACTTATTGGAAATGACCACTCAGAAAGACCCACTCCCACTCCCAACCCAAAATACCATGGGCAATTGGTATTAAAGGACGCTGAAAAGTCCAACAGAATCAGAGGAGCCATAGTCATCCCAATCCTGCCAAAGGTCACTAACAAGAGCCAACAACATACCGTGTTTCCCCGAAAATAAGACCCTGTCTTATATTTTTTTGAACCCCGAAATAAGGGCTTGGCCTTATTATCTCGGGGGCGGGGGTGTCTTATTATTTTGGAGGTGCAGGAGACAGCAAGTGTGGCCACCTCATGGCTTCTGCTGTGTTGCACTGTGTTCGAGAAGTTTGAACTCGCGAGGTTTCTTTTACCCTACGTGTTTGCCTGCAGGCAATGACAAGACATGCGACAGAGCTACAAGGCAGGTAAGACACATTTCACCTCTCCCCAGCCCCACCCCTCCCCACTTATCATCCCCAAATTTTATCCAGTTGGGGCAGGGACAGGAAGCCCTCCCATGCCTGGCGAGAGGGGGAGAAGAGACGGCAAGAAGAGCGAGCCCTGTCTCGCTCCATGCATTTCGCTTCTCCCCCACCCCCCTCAATAAAGAGCCGGGCACTGTGGAAAAGGGAGCCAGGCGGGCATGGACTTTGGGCATCTGGTGCTGTTGGGAGTCACCCAGCGGAGAGGCAGGAGCAGGGCGGGAGTTTGCAAGGGATCGCTTCCCCTTTGCCTTCTCTCCCAAAAATGCTCCTCGGGCACGCTCACCTCTGCAGCAGGAGACACATGCCTCGCACCGGCCTTCCGAAGGGTACCATAGTAGCAGCTATCCACAATTTGTTAACCCTTATTTTGTCCTGACCCACGTGGCCCAGTATGGTTGGGATGAAGTAAGGATAAAAAAATTGTGGATAGCTGCTGCTACAGTATTCTTCAGAAGGCCGCCACTGTCAGGGTGACAATTAATCCCATTCTGCTTTTGGATAATTGCACCTTGATTAGAGAATGGATCGAGGCTTTTCCCTTGAAGTATACTTAAGAAAATAAACCCAAGGTTTTGGTTACCACCTTTAAAGCGCTCCATGGCTTAGGACCTGGTTATTTACGGGACCGCATACTACCACCAATAGCCTCCCACCGGCCAGTACGCTCTCATAGAGAGGGACTCCTCCGGGTGCCGTCAGCCAAACAGTGTCGACTGGCGGCCCCTAGGGGGAGAGCCTTCTCTGTGGGGGCACCTACCATCTGGAATGAGCTCCCCCCGGAGATACGGAGGATCCCGGATCTGCGCTCCTTCCGCCGTGCTGTGAAGACCTTTTTATTCCATCAGGCGGGCTTGGCCTAATTTCTTCCCTTTTTAAATATGTAAATTTTAATCTGTTTTTAAATTATTGGGGTGTTTTAATCTGTCTGGGCCAAAATGATTTAATTTGATTTTATCTGGTTTTTAAATTTTTTGTATTTATGTATTTTATTGTTGGCTGTTCACCGCCCTGAGTCCTTCGGGAGTAGGGCGGTATACAAATCAAATAAACCAACCATAAACCATATATTCTAATAAACACATTTTATTATATAGAAGTAAAAACAGTCTTACTAGCTAATTAATTACATCTTGGCAGCGTTCCTGCCGTACCTCTTAGCAGGCGAACAAAGAAAGTTAGAAGAAATTGAAAGAATGTGGAAGAAGGAATGTGGACATGCGCAGTGGCTTCTGAGATAAGCTCTGCATCTACCGTAAAGCTTAGAATGGGAGCCCAGCTGACAAATACAAAAACGCAGTGACAGCCACAAGGCACATGGGGCGCATCGCTTGGCTTCCTGCTGCAGAAGTGGCTGCAATCCATGGCAAAAACGCCCATGCTTGCTGGAGGGCTTATTTTCAGGGGAGGGCGTATATTTACGCCCACCCCAAAAGTCAGGCTTGGCCTTATTTTCGGGACATGTCCTAGTTTTGGGGAAACACGGTACTTTCAGTCCAACACTCGGTTCCAAAGGGCACAGATAAACCTCCAAGTGCTTCAACGACCAGCTAAAAGGATGCAAATGACCAGCTGTCTGCAAGGAGTATAAACCCTTCCATTCCTCACTATCCTGTCAGAACTGAAGAAGCTTTTTGGATGAGAAGCAAAATGTCTTCAAAGAAAAAACAAGTCCAGTTGCCTCCTGAAAAAGCACCTTTGGGACAACCATGACCTGGATGACTTGAGAATCTCTACAGTCTCGATTCCAAAATCAGGGTAAGAAAGGTCCAGATAAACTAATTCATCAACCACTCTCCCTAGAAAGGGAATATTTATTTTATTTTAATTTTTTTTATTATATGCTGCCCATCTCTATCTAAAATTACTCTTGGTGGCTTACAATGCAATATGTGGGATAAGTTGACAGTTACAGTTGAGGGCTAGCTAGATTAAGAATTGTTTTATTGAGGAGGGAACACACTGCTGTCTTGATCAAGGAAGGAGGCACCACCCTCTTACCTCAAAAATACCAATTTGGGTGCTTCCAGCAACTAGGTAAGGTAGGAATCTAATTCACAGATGGTAGAGATAACAGTACAGATGACTTAAGTCTACTTCTACTGATCCAGCTTGTTTTCCCAATAGGCCCAATTACTTTGAACAATGTTGTTAGGTGGCTATCTGCAGATGCAGCAACAGTAGAAAAGCAAGCTTGCTTCAGTGCTCTTACCACTATAAACTCATGACAAGCCCTTTATGTTTAATCACTGTCACATCACCTTTAGGTTTCTGGAAGGTAATTCCCCCATAAATTAACGGTGAATATCCTAAGAACATTCAGCCTATATGAAAAGTTATAGCTATAGCTATACACCTGTATTAAGATCTCACCTGTAGTAACTGAGAGTGATCGCTCCAGCTGCCGAGGTGACATCATCTGGATAGTTAACTTTGCTAGATAGATGGCTTCGTATTCCTAAAACAAGAAGACTTGAAGAATTATACAAAACTCGCAGGAATCACTCTGTGTCAAGACCTTAAGACAAAAAGCAACCAATGGAAAAACCAACAAGAGCATATAAATATTATAATTCAGGGAAACTGACATATTTCAGGAAACTGAGAAACAGATTTGGATGAGAGAAGGGAGATAAGCAATTTATTTCCACTTGATTAAATTAAATCGAGACTTAGAAAAAAAAATCACTGTAACTTCTTCTCTGGAGGAAGACTTGGCCTTCTGTATCTCTTTACCGGAATATTTCAGTGAAAGGAGAACAAGTAGGCAAGTAAAAGCTGATTGCACATACATAGATAACACACAGCTCAAGCAATCACCAATATGCTACCTGAACCTGAATCAGTATTTGAACATGGGATTAAAAGAATGAAAGCTGTGGTTTTCTTTAAACCACAACTTTCATTCTTTTAAAGGTGTTTCTTTAAAGAACACCTGCAGTCATTGAAGATGACAGCTCATTGATGGTTGCTCCAGAATCTTAACTACCTCTGCCATATATTTTAGAAATTCTATTAACGATCATAAAACTCCTTTTAATATTTAAGTAATATACAGTTTACATATTTGGCTAAGCTTATCCACTCACATTTTCAAACATTTCAGTATTTTAAATTTCACATTCACATTCAAAAAACCAAAATTTCAATGACTAAGTATATTTGAATAAAAATAACCCGCTACAATGGAAAATATAACCAACATCCAAAAAAGATGAATACCTTTCTTTCAAATCAGAACATCAATACATTTCAGACAATTAGGTATTACTACCTACAGAATTAGTAATAAAATCTACATTATCAAGCAGCACATATATTTTTACCTGAAGTTGATGAACAAATCCAGCATTGGGATTAATACAAAACCTTCTTTCTTGCACATATGTAAATGCATCCCTAGAAAAAAGAAATTATCCATTCATGTCCATTTCATTTGGTTTCTGATTTACTTAATATTTTCCTTAATTTTAATTGTTTTATTTGCTGTTTATTCTTATCTCCACTGTTGGACCTTAGAATATATTAGAATCTCTGTGCAAGTGTTAGCCAAGCCTATATTTGCAATAAGGAATGTGTCCAACATGTATCAGACTTTCATACTTAACTTCCAAAAATATTCTTTATATAGAAATTGCATATGAAATTCCTAATACATATATAATATAATGACATATCTTGGGCAAATTTACTGCTGCTTTAAAATGCCAGATATAAATAAATAGCATTTTGTTTTGTGCTATATCTGGTATGTGACATTTAAAAGCAATATTGGTGGTATAATGTATTAAAACAAACATGGTTTAAACAAAGTTCACAAAACTTGAATTTAAAAAAGGGGAATAATTTCTGTGAAGAATCTAAGAATTTGCTTTAAAGATAGTTAAAAACATCTAATTATTTTACAAATCCCCTATCCTGAAATTCAACAGGCTATTTAGTAAATGTTCTTACCTGTACTTCACACCAAATGTTTCCATAATATATGCAATAACTAAGGCAGCACTGAAAACAGACAAATAAACAAGGTAAGATATGTTGGTCATGCCTTATCAATGTTTTTTTTAAATGTGAATTTTTGTTACCTTCTAGAAATCCCTGCGTTCCCATGCACAAGAACTTTTCCTGAGAATGAAGAAAGTTACTTTACACTGGCTATATAGCATTTCCTCCTCTTGTATTATATTATTTACTTTACAGTACACAGTACCACTTATCTGTAAGATTCACAAGAGGGTTTACTAAGGTTAAACATAATATCAAAGAATTATTGGAAATTGCAACCCCCATCCCTCAGTAAGATTAGCATGGCAAGTGGGAAATCTGCTTGGCAAATCTATTTGTGAAATAGTAGCAAGTTGTTTATTTACCCCGTTTGTGACAAAATGAACACTTGCTTCCAGCTGCCACTTGCCCTGTAGCTGCAAGTAGAAGGGAAGCATAAACATGGCCTCTGCTTGGATACAGAAAGCACTGTTACTGTTACTTTTTTCAGAGACAGAATCTGTTCATTAAAAAAACCCAGAAACTCTTGATCTGCAAAATTGCAGCCATAGTTTTTTTCATAGGAAAAACAAGATTGGTTCATTTCACTATGCTTTTGAAAAATTGCTATGGACATCCCAGCTGCATTCCAATGACCCTTAATCTCCCATGGAACCCCATCACATTCTTATAGGATTCCATGGACACAGCTTGAAAAACCCTGATCCAAGTCACAAATCAAGATCAACTAAATGTCAGCAGTAATACCATACATTTTAAGCTAGATGCAGACTTCTAGGCTAAGAAACGTTATTCTCTTTGATTGGTAACGGAAGGCTACAGGATTGTGTCACGTAGTCATCTGTTCAAATTAGCCTCTAAGGCAAAGATTGGCAAATATTAAATCACTGGGGAAAACAACTCAGCCTTTCTAGAGAACTGGAGGAGAGCATCCAGTGACACTACTAAAAAGGGCACGGCTATCAATTTTACTGTGGGAAGGGCAGGTTAAAAATGGAAATAAGAACATTAGGTCATATTCCTATCCTTACAGAAACATGCCTTCTTTGAAAGACTAATATTGTGCCGTCTAACCTAATGTCAAGATAGAAATTGGAGACATCTGCCATCCAAGAAAACATCCATGCACAAACATAAAGGGCAGGGGGAGGGGGGAACAGGCTGTGTTACCACAAAGCATCCATTGTGTCACTAAAATTCAACAATACCATGGGGCTACAAATGGGCAGGGCGCATATGTGGGTGGGGAGGGCCCGGTGCAGTTCATGCAATGCCCATCTTTGCTCTAAGGCATCATGACAGAAAAGTTAATGCACCCTTATATAATGGCAAGAAACAATTTGTTCCCTAAAGTCCTTGATTGGGGGGGGGGCTATTCTAGGTATCAGAAAGTTATCAAAGTTGTAAAAAGAGAAAACATAATATAAGCCTATAAATAATAATGGCGATTCTATGACAAAGTATTCTTATCTCATATACCTTGTATCTCTATATATTTAATATGAAAGGAAGCTAAAATCTGTCCAATTTTCAGGCAAATAATTTAAGATACATACCTCCAGTTTGTAAACTCCCATCAATAAACTCCTTAGTCTAAAGAAAAAAAATACCATTCCTTTTCCACTTTATTAAACACGCTTACATTGATACAATCAATCAGTTTTATAATATATGGAAGTAACTTCTGCACAAAAAGATAATATTATTCACAAAACGTAATGTAATTATTTACAAAAATAATGTAATGTTAGCAATTGCCTATCTTTATATTTTATTTAAGATGATTCTTGACGGCATAATACAAAAAACAAATGCTTTATCAAAATATTAAAATGATTATTTTCAATAATAATCAAACTCACCTACAGTACATAAATTAAGTTATCATAAAAAGTTCTCAGGTTTTTAAAAAAATCATACAAATATTTACTACGGAATGCAATAAAGTCTGTAGGGAACTCCAATTACCTACATTCTCTAAAAATTGTTGGAAATGCAATAACCAGATGAGATCAACATACTTTACATAGATGTACTTAAATTGAAAAAAAACTGAACACATTTAATTAATGGGGGCTTGAGGGAAATTGAATGCAACATTACTTCACTGTGACAATGCATGCAGCATATATAAAAGGAGCAGTTTGCATTGCACCATGTTGATAAAATTACTGGATCATGCAAACACCTGTTTTTTAAATTCTATTTTAAATGTAATGCTACAGAGAGTGAAAAGGAGATGCAGCTTAGAGATATCAGCACAGAATCCAATAAAATCTGTGGGCACTTCCAAGCTCCTCCAAATGGAATTTAGATTTATGATTGTGATAGTTTTTGTTATATGTGCCAATTTTATCATATTAACTCAGTTATGCATGCAAATACAATATAGACCACAAATATTGAAAAAACAGCATTGTTATAATTGGACTTAAAAGTTGACCAACATCTCTAATTTTGTCTGCTTTTTAAAGCATGTTTATTGTTACTTGTTAAGAGTACTGCTAATTGTTTGCTTTTATTATTCATGATGTTATAATACAGGCCAGCATTCTGCAATTTCTACGGCCTCTGGAATCATCCTCTACTACTGGATGATGCCAGGAGCAAAATTCAGAGGAAAACTGCTCAATAACATTGGTATGATTCCCTACCAATTTTCAGCATGGATTTAAGGGAAAATGGGTGGATTAATTTTCTAGTATGCTTAATGCATATTAAAATCCCGCCTCCATTTTAAAAAATTCTGATCTGCTTGCTCCAGAACAATATCATCTACTAGGGAGAATCAATATGAAAATAAGAAGTGGACAATAAACATCAATGATATCAGGGAACTCAAAATCTGGACATTTCTAAATCATTTTCTTCACAGTAAAATAACCACTGAGAATGATATCAATTACAGGCTGTATGTGATTGAAAAAAAATCAAATTCCACTATATTTGCAAAATGTACGTGTGAATAATTTTACTTTAATCTTTTTGCTATTCAACAAAATAAACCAACAAAAATTTAAAAGGAGAGAATTGAAATCACAGAACAAAATGTTTACATTTGGATAAAACAGCCATGTATATTTGATGTTTCGTTTATTGGTATGAAAAGGTTCTATATGAAGGAATGATATTGAAAAGGCAACATTTTCTCCATTTTCTGCGAGTTATTAATGTAATTCACAGAATAGAAAACAAAGTTCATGTTTACCAAGAAAATAATGTTTTATGAGTCACAATATGCCATGCTTTTCAATGCATTACAGTGTTTCATGTAATATGGTTAGTCATTGCAACTCTAATCAAAGATGAAGTTTATTTACCTGAATCATTTCAATTATCAATACTTGTTCACTCCTTTAGCATTATCCCCTCAGTTCTAAAACATATGCTTTAACTCATATGCTTTAAATCAAAACATAATTTAACTCATGATGATGGACACTTACCATTGGGAAAAACCTTATAATATTTTCAATGGGATTATCAGCAATATCCAAGACCAAATACCTACAATTAAAATAAGTGTGTTAAGTACATAGTCAGGACCATTCATTTTCTAGAGTGTTAAACAGTCATAAAACATTAAATCAAGGAGCTCATTGAGAAAGTTTAAACTTTTTACACTGCCACTGTATATTCTGATGATCTCTCCTCAGCTAAATATTGTAGACGTAGACTTCTATAGAGCAAAATAAAATTAAATGAGAATTTCAGAAGAGAAGTCGTAGTGTAATGAGGATTAATATTTTTTTGATTCTACATTACTTCAAAACAGCTCTCCAAGTTTTATTCCTACCAACCCCAAATAGTCTTTGCTAGAAGTTTGCCTGAAATCTTGAGGAATTAGTGTTAGCCAATAAATAACACGGAAATAGAAGATAAATATAGGAAGTCTTCAACCTATGACTACAATTGAGCCAAAATTTTCTGTTGCCAAGTAAGACAGTGGTTAAGTGATTTTTGCCTCATTTTATGACCTATCTTGCCACAGTTGTTAAGTGAATCACTGCAGTTGTTAAATTAGTAACATGGTTGTTAAATGAATCTGGCTTCCCCTGTTTACTTTGCTTGTCAGAAGATTACAAAAAGTGATCACATGACCCTGTTGTAAATATGTCGGTTGCCAAGTATCTGAAATTTAATTATGTGACCATGACGATGCTGTAGCAGTCATGTGAAAAACGGTGACTTTTTCCAGTGTTGTGGTAACTTTGAATGGTCAGTTAATGAACTGTCATAAGTCGAGGACTACCTATAGTCTGCATTGTTATAAATCAGGTATTTATGTTTTATTCTTTGTAGCGTAGCACATTTAGTCCAGCTAATGGTTTATAAACTAGTGGCTTAAATTGTTCAAAGCCTCTAGCAGAAGGAAAAATTATTAGCAATGTTGGAGTTTCCACCTTCACGTTTGCAAAAAACACAGAAAGCATTATGGAATGTTCTTTATGAAGTAAAAGAATTACCATTAATTTTATCATCTGTAATGAAAAGTATATGTTACTGAATGAAATTTCTTATTAAACCGCTAAGAAATCTGTAGCTAATATTTGAGTTAAGCAACTGAACAGTAACTGAAACCCAACTGATTTAGGAAGTTAGCAAAATTCCATGTATCAAGTTATAAAGAAAGGACAGATTCCTCATGTTCACTCATAAATCTGACATCAAAATTTGTTCCAATGACTGCATCTAAAATCTGAAGCCCTACAGCAGGGGTCCCCAATCCCTGGCGCATAGACCAAGCTGCGACATGCCAGAAACTAGGCCACGCAAACAAGCGAAGCCCCATCCGCCGGATGCAGGAAGCACATGAAACCATGCCCTCTGGTTCACAGAAAAACCTCTCCAGAAAATCGGTCCCTGGTGCCCAAAGGTTGTGGGCTGCTGGCCTAGAGATATAAAATAATACTATAAATAGGACTGACCTACTCACTTCATATGAAACATCTGAACATTTGGAATAAAGACTAATAAGTCACCTGGATACCTTTTTGGAGCTATGAGAACTAAAAATGTTTACTGTAAAAAACCAAAATTTTTGACATATTTGATAGAACATGAAGTACATTACCACAATATATACTACGTTTCAAGATTTTATCTAATTTTTCCTCTTTGTATCATTCTCACCTTAGGTAAGGAAAAAAACAGATAATCTTACACATCTCTTTCCAATACTTTTATCTATTAACACGTTACTGTATTGGAAAAAGATGTAACAGTTACTGTGAACTATAAAGACACTTATAAGAGTGTATAAATGATATAGCGTATACTATCCTAAAAAGTACATATTGTACAACGCTTCATGATCATTGTTTTCAAAGCAGAATTTATTTAAGATTTTCTTACCTAAATAACTGCTGGAAGTTTGGTTTAATAAAGTTTGCTTCAATGTTTTGTCTTATGCATATTACATGAGTGATCCCATGTTTCTGAAGTGTAGGTAGCTACAAAACGAAATTATGAACAAATTCAATGTATGGCTGATACCAAGCCAGAAAGAAAATTTAAAACAATAGAACTGCATTTTAGTAGCTAATAGTTAATTAAGTAATTAATAGTTATATACGAGATGGCCAACAAATTTAATAAATAATAAAATGATTACACTAAAATAGCAATTTAGACCCCTTCATGGATTACTGCCTTGTCGTGGTGAAGGGGCTTGCATAGGTCAATGAAGCTATGAGCTATGCCGTACAGGGACACCCAAGATGGACAGGTCACAGCAGAGAGCTCTGACAAAATGTGATCCACTGGAGAAGGAAACGGCAACCCACTCCAGTATCTTTGCCATGAAAACCCCATGGACAGTACCAAAAGGAAAAAAAGATATGATCCCGGAAGATGAGCCCCTCAGGTCGGAAGATGTCCAATATGCGACTGGGGAAGGGCTAGGGCTAGTACTAGTAGCGCCAGAAAGAATGAAGCGACTGGGCCAAAGCTAAAAGGACACTCAGCTGTGGATGCATCTGATGGTGAAAGGAAAGTTCAATGCTGTAAAGATTTTTTCTCCATAGGAACCTGGAATGTAAGATCCATGAATCAAGGCAAACTGGACGTGGTCAAACAGGAGATGAAATGACTGAACATCGACATCTTAGGAATCAGCAAACTAAAATGGACAGGAATGGGTGAATTTAATTCAGATGACCATCAGGTAATACTACTGCAGGCAAGAATCCCTCAAAAGAAATGGAGTAGCCTTCATAATCAATAAAAGAGTAGGAAAAGCAATACTGGGATACAATCCCCAAAATGATAGAATGATCTCAATTCGAATCCAAGGCAAACCATTCAATATCACAGTAATCCAAGTCTATGCCCCAATCACTGGTGCTGAAAAGGGTGAAATTGACCAGTTCTATGAAGCCCTACAGCACCTTATAGAATTAACACCAAAAAAATGATGTCCTTATCATTATGGGGGATTGGAATGCTAAAGTAAAAAGCCAAAAGATCACTGGCATAACAAGCAAGTTTGGCCTTGGAGTACAAAATGAAGCAGGGCACAGGCTGATAGAATTCTGTCAAGAGAATACAGTCAGGTCCAGAAATATTGGGACATCGACACAATTTTAACATCTTTGGCTCTATACACCACCACAATGGAGTTGGAATGAAACAAACACAATGTGCGTTAACTGCAGACTGTCAGCTTTAATTTGAGGGTATGTACATCCAACTCAGGTGAACGGTGTAGGACTTACAGCAGTTTGTATATGTGCTTCCCACTTGTTAAGGGACCAAAAGTAATGGGACAATTGGCTTCTCAGCTGTTCCATGGCCAGGTGTGTGATATTCCCTCATTACCCCAATTACAATGTGTAGATAAAAGGCCCAGAGTTCATTTCAAGTGTGCTATTTGCATTTGGAATCTGTTGCTGTCAACTCTCAAGATGAGATCCAAAGAGCTGTCACTATCAGTGAAGCAAGCCATCATTAGGCTGAAGAAACAAAACAAACCCATCAGAGAGATAGCAAGAACATTAGGCATGGCCAAAACAACTGTTTGAAACATTTTCAAAAAGAAGGAACGCACCTGTGAACTCAGCAACACCAAAAGACCTGGGAGACCATGGAAAACAAGTGTGGTGGATGACCGAAGAATTCTTTCCCTGGTGAAGAAAACACCCTTCACAACAGTTGGCCAGATCAAGAATACTCTCCAGGAGGTAGGTGTATGTGTGTCAAAGTCAACAATCAAGAGAAGATTTCACCAGAGTGAATACAGAGGGTTCACCACAAGATGTAAACCATTGGTGAGCCTCAAAAACAGGAAGACTAGATTAGTTTGCCAAACAACATCTAACAAAGCCTTCACAGTTCTGGAACAAGATCCTATGGACAGATGAGACCAAGATCAACTTGTACCAGAGTGATGGGAAGAGAAGAGTATGGAGAAGGAAAGGAATTGCTCATGATCCTAAGCATACCACCTCATCAGTGAAGCATGGTGGTAGTAGTGTCATGGCGTGGGCATGTATGGCTGCCAATGGAACTGGTTCTCTTGTATTTATTGATGATGTGACTGCTGATAAAAGCAGTAGGATGAATTCTGAAGTGTTTTGGGCAATATTATCTGCTCACATTCAGCCAAATGCTGCAGAACTCATTGGACGGCATTCACAGTGCAGATGGACAATGACCCAAAGCATACTGCAAAAGCAACCAAAGAGTTTTTGAAGGGACAGAAGTGGAATGTTATGCAATGGCCAAGTCAATCACCTGACCTGAATCCCATTGACCATGCATTTCACTTGCTAAAGACAAAACTGAAGGGAAAATGCCCCAAGAACAAGCAGGAACTGAAGACAGTTGCAGTAGAGGCCTGGCAGAGCATCACCAGGGATGAAACCCAGCGTCTGGTGATATCTATGTGTTCCAGACTTCAGGCTGTGATTGACTGCAAAGGATTTGCAACCAAGTATTAAGAAGGGAAAGTTTGATTTATGATTATTATTCTGTCCCATTACTTTTGGTCCCTTAACAAGTGGGAGGCACATATGCAAACTGCTGTAAGTCCTACACCGTTCACCTGAGTTGGATGTACATACCCTCAAATTAAAGCTGACAGTCTGCAGTTAACGCACATTGTGTTTGTTTCATTCCAACTCCATTGTGGTGGTGTATAGAGCCAAAGATGTTAGAATTGTGTCGATGTCCCAATATTTCTGGACCTGACTGTATGATGGTCATAGCAAACACTCTTTTCCAAAACCCAAGAGATGACTCTACACATGGACATCATCAGACAGTCAACACAGAAATCAGATTGACTATCTGCTCTGCAGCCAAAGATGAAGAAGCTCTACACAGTCAGTAAAAACAAGACCAGGAGCTGACTGTGGCTCAGATCATGAGCTTCACATTGCAAAATTTAGACTTAAATTGAAGAAAGTAGGGAAAAGCACTAGGCCACTCAGGTATGAACTAAATCATAACCCTGATGAATATACAGTAGAGGTGACAAATAGATTTAAGGAATTAGATCTGATAGACAGAGTGCCTGAAGAACTATGGACGGAGGTTTGCAACATTGTACAAGAGGTAGCAACTAAAACCATTCCAAAGAAAAAGAAAGACAAGAAAGCAAAATGGTTGTCTGAGGAAGCTTTGCAAATAGCTGAAGAAAGAAGGGAAGCAAAAGGCAAGGGAGAAAGAGAAAGATACACCCAGTTGAATGCAGATTTCTAGAGAATAGTTAGTAGAGAATAGTTAGAAGAGATAAGAATGCATTCTTAAATGAACAGTGCAAAGATACAGTTTACATTCCAATTCCAAAGAAAGGCAATGCCAAAAAATGTTCAAACTATTGCACCATTGCACTCATTTCAAATGGTAGTAAGGTTATGGTTAAAATTCTATAAGCTAGGCTCCAGCAGTATGTGGATCGAGAACTACCAGAAGTACAGGTAGGATTTCAAAGAGGCAGAGGAACTAAAGATCAAATTGCCAACATACGCTGGATCATGGAGAAAGCCACGGAGTTCCAGAAAAACATCTACTTCTGCTTCATTGACTATGCTAAAGCCTTTGATTGTGTGGATCACAACAAACTGTGGCAAGTTCTTAAAGAGATGGGAGTACCAGACCATCTTATTTGTCTCTTGAGAAACTTATATGCGGGTCAAGAAGCAACAGTGAGAACTGGACACGGAACCACTGATTGGTTCAAAATTGGGAAAGGAGTCCGGCAAGGCTGTATACTGTCACCCTGCCTATTTAACTTATATGCAGAGCACATCATGAGAAAGGTGGGACTAGATGAATCGAAAGTTGGAGTTAAGATTGCCGGGAGAATTATCAACAACCTCAGATATGCAGATGATACCACTCTAATGGCAGAAAGCGAAGAGGAACTAAAGAGCCTCTTGATGCGGGTGAAGAAGGAGAGTGCAAAAGTTGGCTTGAAACTCAACATTAAGAAAACTAAGATCATGCCCTCTCAATTCCTGGCAAATAGATGGGGAGGAAATGGAGGTAGTGACAGGTTTTATTTTCCTGGGCTTCAAGATCACTGCAGCCAAAAAATTAAAAGACACTTGATCCTGGGGAGGAAAGGTATGGCAGATCTAGACAGCATACTAAAAACCAGAGACATCACCCTGCCAACAAAAGTGCATATAGTCAAGGCTATGGTTTTCCCAGTTGCAATGTATGGCTGTGAAGGTTGGACCATAAGAAAGACTGAGCATAGGCCTTTGAATTATGGTGCTGGAGAAGACTCCTGCGAGTCCCTTGGACTGCAAGGTGATCAAACCAGTCAGTCCTAGAGGAGATCAACCCTGACTGCTCTTTAGAAGGCCAGATCCTGAAGATGAAACTCAAATATTTTGGCCACCTAATGAGAAGGAAGGACTCACTGGAGAAATGCCGGGAAAGATTGAGCGCAAAAGAAGAAAGGGACGACAGAGAATGAGGTGGCTGGATGGAGTCACTGAAGCAGTAGGCGTGAGCTTAAATGGACTCCAGAAGATGGTAGAGAACAGGAAGGCCTGGAGGAATGTTGTCTATGGGGTCGCGATAGGTCGGACACGACTTCGCAACTAACAACAACAAAGCAATATAGAATATGTGTCTTTCCTCTCTCCCCCCTCCCTCAAATATATATCCTGGCTGAAAATATTCAGCATCTCTAAAAGAGCTGAATTGATTAGGCTCTTTGCCCAAAACAAATTTAATAAGCTAAAAACCATGAAGAGCGTATAACATATATGAACTTTAGAAGGATTTTGTCTTCTGACTGTTCTATAATGAAACAGTGCATCTGCAGAAAGTATAAATATCTCTAAGGTCAATCAATGCTGCAATAATGTTTTTATTTTTGTTGAAATGTTTCCTATACCCCTTTCCCCAGGCAGAAATCAGAGATACCCAGCAAAAAATCAAAATACTGCAACAATATTTAAAGGATATAAGGAAAAGCATGGTAAATATATTTTCTAACAATTACGGTGCATTGTATATTTATACAAAATCAAAAACGTCTTCTTAAAGAGAGAGATTTTCAATGCATGACAAAAATCCACAATGAAGGGAGGAAAGGAACATGTCCTAAAGAAAGCATCTAGATAATTTACACATAAACTACTCAGCATAAAAAGGTTACAGGCAACCTACCTTGCTTTTCATAGCTGAAGAGTATGGGCCTAAGAATAAGCCAGGCAAAATTTCCTTTAAAAAAATTGAAGAATGAACAGTGGGTAAGTGGATGGGTGGAAGAAAACAAATATACATACAAAATTTACAAGGTACAACATCAATGTGTAATAAGAATTGTATTAATGCAATATCAAGATTAGTTTTAAATTACTTCTGGCCCTATTCAGATACACTTGAGAAAAACACAAGCCAGTAGGTGATTTTAGGCCAGGTTTATTTTCTTGTAAATCAGCACAGGGCTAAAAGAAAATATTTCACAGCCTAACTACATGTTATACCACAGGAGAAACTTCTTGATCTCCGTGCCCAAAAGCCATGCCAGAATTCAAATAACAACTTCATGTTTGGTCAAGCTTAATTAATTCAGGCAGAGTACAATAATTGTTTTATAAATTTTATGAATTTGCTCTTTTTGCTGGGAAGTTACTTGGTACATTTTTCTTGGAAAAAGAAAAAGAAAGGAACATGAATAACATGCTATAATATCTTGTGCTTCTTTTCCTCCTCAGATTCATTCTGGACTAATCCTGTAATCCATAGAAGAAACCTTAAGATTTGAAGGGAGAAAAATATACACATCTCTCAAATTATTCCAGACTGTCCCTGTATATATATAAAACTGAATTTTTCAGTCTCAATTTTCATTATGTTTACTCCAAGTCCAATTTTCACTTTTATTTTTCCTGTTCATGTCAATATCACCCTATTTTCCTCTGAACTTGGTAATTTATAACCAAGATGAATATACTTCTATACTGTTTTGTAGAACCATTTCTCAAAAACAATTTCTGGTGATGCTCCTGTCTACAAGGAAAAATCAATAGGCCAAGCTTTTCTTCATGGCATTTTAGTAAGAAAATGAGTTTCAGCCTACCATGCAACAGTTAAAGGCAAAACAACCTACACAATGCATATTCTGTGTTCTTTAATTTAATGCTTATATCTCCTTAAGTGCCCACTAGGTTCTTTAGCTTTTTTTAAGCTACAAGTCTAGAAAAATGTATTTCATTTCAAAAAAGTTAATAGAGAACCCTGAGCTTTATCCAGAATTGTGCCCAACTAACCAGAAAAAAGAACATTTATATTTAGTGCAGCATTTCTCAACCTTGGCAGTTTGAAGATATATGGACCCCAACTCTCTGTATTTCTATGCTGTGTGCTGGATTGAAAATTCTGGCGATTGAAGTCTATACATATTCAAGTTGCTAAGGTTAAAAAATACCAATTTAGAGAGTGGGCACAAAGCATCCCCAAAGGACTACAGATTTTCTGAGAGGCTAGGAATGAAATGAAGATTAAATGCCTAAGCTAAATACACTTGCTCATTTTTTTAAAAAATGTGCCTGAGCAGAATAGTGATTCTCTTTTTTTCTGATGTGATACGACGTTTGTGCTTGTTTGTGTATGTGCATATATATCTGTCTGGTTATTTTCCAGTATGAATGTATGGTACACATTACACATGGATATTTTGCCTATGATGGGAAATGCAGAATGTGTATATCAATTAGACTTTAGCCTTTATCTCTGCTGTTCATTAGTTTCTGGTAGCAGTTAGGTATCTTATTCAACTTGCCTTTTGTGAAACGGGCATTGAAATAAAAAAGCATGGGTTCAAAAAATAGACATAAGATTTTAACTAAAACCTCACCTGTTTGTCTTGACTAGAATTCTTGAACAAGTTTTTTTTTATGATAGCCTCACTTCTGTTCTAAGAAAGTTTGCAAATAGCTGTGGTAACTATTTTGTGACAATTCGTTCTTAATAATCCATTGCTCCACAAGGCTTGAGTACCTAGCTGTATTCCAATCCTCTGAATTCAGAGAACAGAGTGATAGAAATGTGTACAGAATGTATAATGCTCAGGACTGGCAGAAGTAGTGATTATTGGAATAGCCTATCTTAGCAACTATCTGCAGATCTCAGAAGAAAAGGCCAGATTAGAGTCTAGAGTCTGTAGCTCCTTCAAATGGGTATCTTTCAAAAGGATAATATACTGTAATCCTTTTGCCACCCTGAGCTTCTTGGTTACAAATCTACGGTAATAAGTAGATAATAAAAAAGCTACTTTTTAGGAACCATCCTTCCTTAATGTTGCTGGGCTTTCCCCCACCCCTTTATTTATGGTTTGCAATATGTAAGAAACATGAAATGAATTTGCCACATCAATTTCTTCATTGCCTAATGTCAGATGTCAGCATACATGTTCATGAAGTTGCTAAAGCCCTGCAGCAGCCCAAATACCTGGTAAATAAAACTTTCATACCTGCATCTCTCTTCTCATTGGATATGTCCAATCCTAAGTGGAAGAAATAAAACACATTTTCTCATTTGAATATAAGACCAGTCAAAATAGTGAGGTTCTGGAAAAAATGCAAGATGAAAATGACAAGTTAAACAAGCTAACAAAACTATAGGTTTGATCTTATAATTTTTCATTACTAAAGTTATCTTGGAAAATATTTTATACATCTATGAGGACTGTAATGGCATAAAAATTCCTAATCTCACCCAAAGTGAGATTTTTCATTTGTACATGAAGCAAAATACAATCTGGACACTGAATCCCAGCTGAACTTCAACATGATTATATACCATTACCAATTTGCAAAAAAACCTTGATGAGATATCGGTGAGTCAGAACGGTTATGGGAAGAAAAGAAATGTGTAAATAACCCTGGAAAATGTTTTAAAGAGGAAATGTAATGTAAAGAATATTAAGACTGTGTGTTATTAATTGAAAGATTTTCAAAAATTTAATTTCCTAAATATAATCAGTCACATCTCCCACTATCTAATCACTTTCTGTGCAAGTCAGGGCCTTGAGTGAAATATTATTAGTAACAGGCCTAGTACACATTTTCTGCTAAACCATCATTATTAAGTATCACTTTATTTATCATAACTGACTAAAATCATATTAACAAATTAAATAAACTTCACTTTATAAGTCTAAACATCAACATACAACACAATAAGCTACAAATAAGCCACACATATTTTATGTGCAATATTTAAATCCAGTTATGCCTCCCTAGCTTAAATAATCAATTTCTTTAGTTAGCAAATAAAGAATGTTAAAATAAAACAAACAAAAGGTAGTGACATATGGGAACTTTTCCCTTATTTTGAATTAGTTCACTTTGTACATCAAAGCATATACATGCTCAATCAAGGCCAATATAGAGATGCTACACCAGAACAGCATTTAAGCATTATGTTAAATTAAATACTACATTAAACAGGTAGCAATTGAAAAAGAGCACTGATTCCCCCCAAACTGCAAATGCCTGGCCAATATACAGTAAAAAAACCAGATTAGCTGGAATATTTGTGCTAATAAATAGCACACTACTTTATAATAGTTCATCTGATATTACTTTCAGTGAACAAAACTGTATAGAAATTTAATAAATAAATATTAAGATTCTCTGTCATTACAGCGGAGAGCACTATTACAATATAAATATTTTGAAATGCTTAATATAAGATAGCAAAGAGTAAATTATACGTTTTAGTAATAACAAGAGATGAAAACGTAGAGCATGGTCTTGCTCAGCATTTATTTCAGACACAAGTAGAAGGCATTTAAATATACAGCTAAGCTGATAAAATACAATTATTAAAAAGAAGCAGCAGAAAAAGCAGACTCCCATGTCCACTATAACCATTATTTTGCAAGAGCAAGCTAGAATATGAATTATGAACAAAATGATATATGCCCTTCGTCCTAGAGTGAGAAATTCAGACAAAGAAATAGGAAATATTCTTCTACAGACTATCATAAAGAGAATCCCATTAATCAGAAAGCAATAGACTAAAACCTTAATTTGGATCCTCAATGTCTCGATTCTTGCAAAAACACAACTAATTTATCATATTATCCTGAGAATTGGTCTGAGATGCTGTCCAACTCTTAATGGATACTAGTTGTCTCTAAAACAGATCTCCACAATTCCATAGAAACAAACATCTATTTGAAAACTAACAAATCACTGACATCTTCCCTAATGCAAAATGTTTCAAATCTGAAATGGTCCAAACTTAAAAGGCCATTTTCAGTTTGCAACAATTCTGACCTTACTCAGTATTCCAATGCTGACCATTCTGCAAGTATAGGATTTTGAGCTTGAAACAGAAATAGTAAACTTCATCCAGAGTGTTTTGAACATCTGGAATTCAGCTGTAGCATGGCGTTGAAAGTTAATTTTACAGTATCACTGATTAAAATAATAGAAACAGAAATCTGCTTTTAATAACAATATGGTGTTCTTGTGAGAACACAATAATCATCTGAAACTGGCTAAGATGTTACGCCTCAATTTAAAGGCTAGCAGTTTAAGAGGAACTACATTAGATCTAAATAATGGACAAAGTCCACTTAGTGGAAAATTCAATCTTTGTTGCCTCTTCTCAAAAATTATTACTCACTAAAATAGTAAGATTAAATATAGGTTTAATCTCATATAGGTTTCACTGGGTGTGTGTGTTGAAACATCCTATTTCCCATTGCAAATATATATTAGCCTTTCATTTAATATGCAGAAAATGCTAATTATGGTTTTACATTAGATATATTGTATGAACTGCCAATATTAGAATAATGGTAAGTTAGTACCTTCTACTGTTCCAAAATCCCTTGCTGACTTGGTTCATAAATATCTAGTTCAATATCTGGAGTAGATAGTCTATTGGAGCTATCAGATGAACAGTCATCCCAAGGTACAGAAAATTGGCTGATAAAAAAAAAAGTAAAACTGCCATGCGCATTCTATCTTCTAACCAACTGCCATTTAGGTCCAAATCTTCCAGAACCATATTCATCACAATTTTTTTAAACAGGCTCCATCAAAAGATAGATAAAGCAGTCAGGCCTATTTCTGCCAATTTTACTGAGTTCAACTGCATTTCCTTCTTCTTGTTAAATTTGACTTAATTAAAAACTATGCCTCTCGGCTATTATAACATTTACCCAAAATCCACAGTTGGACAATATCATAATTAGGACCAATCAAAATAGTAGAAAAGAGCATGCAAGCTCTGAGTTCTTCACCATTAAATGGTCTGGAAAACAATTTTGGCTGGTCCCAATAAAGGAATTAACAATCTACATTTGGATTTTTTCCCCCCTTCCTGTGGACCAATGCAGGTTTTTACACTATAATTTTGATCAGCGGATTGCAATATTCTATGCTATATTTTTAATGTAATGTAATGTAATGCAATGTAATGTAAATTTATGAAGATTTAGTCCCCATGGTTCTGGTAATTAAAGTTTGTGTAATCATCTATGCCACTATAATCTTTTTATTTTTTTTTGTACAATTGTTTTAATTTTTTTTGTACAACTGTTACAAAATTATGCATTTCAAAAACAATTTGGAGGGAAATGAATAGGTGCACCAATCTTATCTGCAAGACAAAAACAGTTTATGCTATTCCAGCTCCTTGAGTCTGAAAGTTAAGTTAATCTTAATCTGTTCACCGCCCTCAGTCCTTCGGGAGAAGGGCGGTATAGAAATTCAATTAATAATAATAATAATAATTATTATTATTATTATTATTATTATTATTATTATTATTTAACAATATTTAAAGTGATTAGAAAGTTCACAGCTTCTTCAAGATTATTCAGACTACTGTGCTACCCCCTGCTGTGATAGAATTCAATAGAGAGAGAGAGAGAGATAAAAAGCATAGAAATGTGAGGAGCAATGTTAAAATACTCAAGCATGTCACAAGAATGGGCAACCTTTGAGTGACTATGGTAGCAGACACACTTCACATTTTAAAAAAAGCAAGGATAGGAGAATGCAGTGCAAGAATACAAAATAAAATGAGCTATGTCACAGGTCTTAATAGTGTCAAGAAGTTGTCCTTTCTACCGAGTTCCGTTTCTGATTTCTATAAATGCAATTGTGGCATGTTTCCTATCTCAAAAGTGGCAAGGAACTGTAGTGTCAATTTTCAACCGATTGATTAAAATAAGATTTGGGGGCACAACTGGATCATTTTATATTGTCAGAAGATATTAAAAGGGATGCCTGGGAGGGGGGGGATACCTGCATAATGACAACCTCCTCCAAACTGCTTTAAACAAATTCCCTAATAACAGGGGTTTTCTCACAGAACAACTCTAGATGGTAGTAGTGCTGTGTGCGTGCATGTCATTAAATGGGTGTGCGGGTTCCTGGAAGATACTACAGGGCACCAATGTGATTCTATTCATGTACGCCAAAAGGCTAAAATTAAGACACTCCACCTCTTAAGTCTATATAGTCTGTCGCGTTGAGAAACATGCTGGGGTGGGGGGGGGAAATCAAACCATGCAGAAATAACAGACGCCTTCCCTTGACCGAGGTTCCCTTTCCCGTCACTCCTCCTCCTCGTACAGGCAACAGGATATTTAAAAGGAAGGAGGACGGGCTCTCCAAACCAACCTTGTGACCCGCGAGGAAATGTTGATTTAACGCAGCCGATCAATCCCAACGCGATTCCGCTTCCCACCACCTGCCTAGCAAGTGGAACACCTGTGCGCGTTTGGGTTTTAAATAGGGCTGCGGGCGGGCGCGGGAGAGAAAAAACAAAACAAAACAAAAAAAATAGGGAGAGCGCGCGAAGGCGCCTTCCTCAGTCTTCAGTCGGGGAGGGGATCACGAGGTAAACCCCCCCCCCGCCCCTCACAACGGGGGATGAGGGCTGCTGAGCTCCAAGGTGCCGCCGGCTGGGCGAACGGCTTTCTCGCTCACCTCGGAGTCCTCTTTGGGCTGCGGCAGCGCGGGGAAAACCGGCTTGGCGAGCTCCATGGCCGGGATGGGCCGGGTAGGGCGAGGCTTCTTTCCTTCCTTCCCCGTGTATCTCTTCTTTTTCCACTCTTGTGTCAGTCAGCGGGGCAGAGGGAGAAGGAGGTCGGTGGGCCTCGACGCTCGAGCGGCGGTGGCCAAGGGGCTGGCAGGGAACCGAGGAAGATGATGACGAGGAAGAGGAGGCGGCGGCGGCGGGGGCTCGCGCCCAGCCGCCATGCTGTTCGCAGGCTACCCCTCCCCCCCAAAGGCTTGCGGTCGGTCGGTCAGTCCTGGCTCCACTCGCGGACGCCGTCGCACGCGCGCTCCGCTCGACGCCTTTCTTTTCCCCCCCCTCCTCCTTCCCCCTCTTCCCCCTCCTCTCCTCTCCTCTCGCGCTGCCCTCCCGGGCTTCCTCCAACCGCCGCTTGCTGCCCAGGCCAGTCGGGATGGGTGGGGAAGCTGAGGGGCGTGGCCTTGGAACGAGCCGTAAGAGGAATGGGGTGTGGTGTTGAACGGAGGAGGAGCCGCCCCTGCTGGGGTCACAGGCGGGAGTGGGCGTGGCCGAGCGGCAAGGTCCCGAAGGGGTGTGTGACGGGAGTTGAGAGGAAGGGGCGTGTCGGAGAAGTGAGAGGACGCGCTTGTCCTCCTTTTGCTCATGGTGACGCACATGCGTGATGGAAGGAGAGCGGCTGTCGCTGCCTCGTGCGCGGATGCGGGAAGGCTACTTCGCTGTCGCGCGACAGCAGCCACCTCTGGAAAAGGGTTTTCTTCCAAACCCTGATTCTCTACAAAAAAGGGATCCTTTTTATAACTCATTGGGCTTTACTCAACCTGCCTTGCCCACACGGCCATAAGGATGCTTTTAATCGCCTCTATTCTGCCTATGTTAGGAGCCATTGATTTTTCTACTAAATCTAGTTTATAATAAAAGATTTGCATAATTTCATTGTGCATCTTATTTAGCCACATAAATAACAGTTCCCATATCCTGACATGCAACTCCAAATTCTAGTTCTAAAATCCTATTGTTTTGCTTTGGATAGATGAACATAGAACATTTCTATGTCGGGCATTGCCCATCTTAATTCTGCTATGCTCTGTAAAATCAGCTGCATCAGTTTATGTAGTTTTTCAAGCCACTCAATGTATGTCAAAAATGGTATTAAAAACCAGCAAAGGCAACTTGAGAGAAACAATGAACAACTCCGATTTTTTAAAAAAAAGCTGAAATGGTATATAAATGCTATTGCTAGTGTGCTGCAGTGATATAGGAAGATGCAAAATGTACAATCACTTTCAATTCATACTATGTGGAAAAGGGCTATGGTAAACCATGCCTGTATTTTTATGAAGAAAACCACATTGGTAGAAAATATAAACATCCATGTTTATGCTCTAACCACTGATGTGTAGTCTGTTGATATATGAAATCAACAGAATACGTAAACAAGTTGTGCTGCTTGTGACTGGAATACTGAAGTTGGAAACGTGAAAGAAGATAATGTAATCTGTATGGTTTAGGCTGATTTATCGATTTCTGCCAGTACAATCGTACTTTCAAAGCTCAGGCTGTCTTCAAACAACTAAAACAACATCTTTGTACACGGACATTACCAGAATAAATGCATAGAAATTAAATTCACTAGGCCGTGGCCAGGGGGGCTTTTTATCAGGTTCGCCTGATCCGTCAGTTGCAGCCCTTTCTGGACCGTGACGCCTTGCGCACAGTCACTCACGCCCTTGTCACCTCCCGACTGGACTACTGCAATGCTCTCTACATGGGGCTCCCCTTGAAAAGCACCCGGAGGCTCCAACTGGTCCAGAATGCGGCCGCGCGGGTGGTTATGGGCGCAACTTGTTGTGCCTACATGACACCCCTCCTGCGTGACCTGCACTGGCTCCCAGTGGTCTTCCGGGTGCGATTCAAGGTGTTGGTTACCACCTTTAAAGAGCTCCATGGCATTGGACCTGGATACCTTCGAGACCGTCTTCTGCCACCAGTAGTCTCCCACCGGCCAGTTCGCTCCCACAGTCTCCTCAGGGTGCCATCGGCCAAATTATGTCAGCTGGTGACACCCAGGGGGAGGGCCTTCTCTGTGGGAGCCCCTGCCCTTTGGAATGAGCTGCCCCCAGAAGTTCGTAAAATCTCTGATTTCCGTGTGTTTCGCTGTGCCCTCAAAACCATGTTGTTCCGCCAGGCTGGGCTATCAATGTAAAGATTTTAAATTGGTTTTAAATGGGATTTTAAATTTGAGGTTTTATAAATTGGGCCTATTATTTAATAATTTTAATTATTTTTAATTTTGTCTGTCTTTGTGTTTTTAATTAGGCTGTACACCGCCCTGAGTCCTTCGGGAGAAGGGCGGTATAGAAATAAAATTAATATATAAATAATAAATAATAAATAAATTCATTGATTTTGATTGTGGGAATCTGGCAAGGAAAATTGCAAAACATGATTACGCAACCATGGGATTCTGCAACTGTCATGTGAAGTGGTTGCCAAGTACCTAGATCATGTTTATGTGGTCATGGGGGTGTTGGGACATCTGGAGTTTTGACTGGTTGTAACCGCCGTTGTATTTTCAACTCACTGAATTAATGGAGGATTATGTGTACTCTCTCTATAAAATATTCAAGTATTTCTCTTCCTCCAAACTGTTCTTGAGCACTTGGGCAGAGCTGCTGGGGAATAGGAAACAGACCTTCCAAATCGCCTTTGGAAAGCAGCTTATAGACAGAGCCATCAGTTCTGGGTTTGACCAACCAAAGACCAGGCAGAATATAAAGACCATACGTTTATAAATATCTTCTTTGATAGGAATCAGTGTAATTCCCTTTCCTTTGCTCAGACAAAAGCAGACACATGTCAGTTTTGAAATTCTACAAAATGTGGTTTTCGGTAGCTTTGCAGTAATGTAATAGGAAAGTGGGAACTATATATAGTACTGAATTTTCTCTCCAGGTTTACTTCCCTGCATCTAGTAATAAGGCCCACAACAACTTGCCATAGAAGAACATTCACATTAAAATCATTGGGACAGTGGCTACAAATGTTAAAAGACATAAATGTCTTTTAATACATTCATTAATATTGTATTTGAATTTAATTTCTTTGCTTGCATGTGAGATATGATTGGTTTCCATTTCTATTAAGTGCTCAGTGTACTGTAATCCAAGACCCTGTTCATATGGCCAACAAATAATGAATCTACAAGTACCACTTCCATATCAGTTGGACAAGGCTCAGAGATATTCTAGCACCCACTGGCTTCTTACAGAGATTGACTATTTAATACAGTAAATACTGTAGACATTTTAATGTAAGAACAATTATATCAACCTTCAACTATACATTATCATACAAGGAGATTCTTTCTCTTAAACAGAGCTTGCATTCAGTTAGTTCGAAAAGATGGAAATTGATCTATGAAACAGGAAATCCACAATCCAGATCTTGTGCCAAGACTGTATTAACATTCTGAAAACATTCATTCTATGATGACTTGGTGGCTCAGTGGCTAAGACACTGAGCTTGTCAATCAGAAAGGTGGGCAGTTCGAATCCCTAGTATAGGTCTCCTGCATGAGCAGGGGGTTGGACTAGATGACCTCCAAGGTCTCTTCCAACTCTGTTACTGTTAGACTTCAGTTTCCACAAAGTCAGAATATGTAGGATGCTGTATTAGGAAAGACTGATTGTCTTAACTTCAGCCCAATTTCCCCTTTTCAGCAGAATTAATGCTGTACTCTTAGTTGACGTATAAAGATTTCTTGCCACAGTTCCAACTTTGTGAAATTAAGCAGGACCATTATCTCACAGGTATAGTTAGGTGGAGCAATGTCCAGCAAAGGGACAGCCTGTCCTCTTGTTCTCCGTTTGACAAGCTTAGTTTAAAATCAATGGCTTTTTGAATTTTCATTAAAGTAATCAATCTTTTGTATAGTGTGCTCTTCTAAATTGTCTGCTGCTTTATTCCTTTGTCCATTGATAAACTCAGTGGCCTATATTTACATGTTAATTTACTTGCTGATTCCAGCAATCAGTTTTAATACAGCCCCTTCAAATCCATGATCATTGTGGACTGTAGATCACATGATTCATCATACTTTTCTGGAGTAAAATTTAAAAAGCACTTCATTATCAAGCCTATATTATTGCTAGCACTAAAGATTCATTGGAAAACTAGTTTTCTGAAACTGGAAAATATAATTTTGAATACATATACCATAGGCCTAATTATTTTTTTTTGCTATAATTTTGGTCACAGATAACAAGAAATTTGAAGTTAGTGTGTCTTCCTTTCCAGTTGTCCATATCCTCCTTTGCCTGGTAACTTTAGTCAGGGGCTGCAAATTAAATGTAGGGAAATTTCAGGAACCACGTTGCCCAATCAAGGAGAAAGTGAACACAGGTAGTCCTCGACTTAGGATCACAACTGGAATCAGAATTTCCATTACTAAGGAAGATGGTTGTTAATTTTACAATCTTTTTTGACAGAGTTCGTAAGTGGATCACTGCAGTTATTTAAATGAATCACAGCAAATCCAACTTACCCCACTGACTTGGTTCTCAGAAACCAGCTGAGGTCGCGAAGGGTAATCACGTCAGCCTGGGGCACTGGAACCATCATAAATACATGCCAGTTGCCAAGCATCCAAATTTTGATTATGTAACTGTTGGGATGCCGTGACAGTTGTAAGTGTGAGAATCAGTTGCAAGTCACTTTTGTCCGTGCAGCTGTAATTTTGAATGGTTACTGAGCAAATGGCTTTAAGTTGAGGACTACCTATATCAGAGGTGTCAAACTCAATGATCCGGCCTGTGGGGTGCTTCAATCTGGCCCACAGGGCTGCAAAGGACTGTCTCATGGTGCCTCTGCCAGTGAAAATGGAGCTCACGAGGGCTGTGTGCGGCCCACCTGAGCTCCGTTTTCACTGGCAGAGGGTTGAAGGAGGCCATTGCAGCTAAAAATTGAGCTCGGGAACCTATTTTCACTGGCAGAGCGCTCTGGCCTCCACAGGCACCCCCAAGAGTGATGTCCAGCTGGCCATGCCCACCCTGTACACATATCCTGCCCCCACAAGGTCAAACACAACCCTGATGCAGTCAATGAAATTGAGTTTGACACCCCTGACCTATATGGTCAAAATAGTGGGAATGTCTAGAATAATGACATTTTACAGATCTTTGACTAGATAACGAAGAAAATGGTACAAAAAATGCTTCCTAGGCATCTTCCTATTTTGCCATATGTTCATACAATTTGTTAGGCCAAAGATACCTACCACGTATTGCAAAATAACAGGCAGTATGAACCCAGCTATTATAGTTTATAA